GAAATCGGTGCGGTTGATGAGGAGTTATTCAGCAGCTGAGCTCTGGAAAGCTGCATCCCTGCTTTCTTTATACATTTTATTATTTTCAATTGGGTTGAAAAATTAGGAGCGTTTAGAGAAAAGAAATACACATTTCTTCTTCCAGCGGGCTGGAAAGCTCTGGTTTTGCCCCTCCACACACGCACACACACATTCTATCTTTCTCTTTCTATTTTTACTTCTTCTGAAGTTTGCGGTGGGGCCGAAGGGAAGGATGCTCTGGAGGCAGCCGGGAGCCGAGCGGCTGCTCCTCACCCCCCCGGGGCGGCCCCGGAGCTCCGCACCCCGCGATGCCATAGGGACAGGCCCAGCTCCCGGCGTCTCGATCCCCCCGGCGGGGCTCGGCCTCTTTGTCCGGTGGCGGGGGGCACTGCAGGCACCGCGTTTTGCCCACCCTCCCACGCCCCCCTCCCGGGCGCTGCCGCCGCTCGGCACAGGGCCGCGTTCCGCCCCGACGGGCCGGGAAGCGGGTGAGGGGCCGTCGGGGCGCGGTGCGGGGCTCGGGCCAATTTATCAGTTATTAAAGGACCCTTCCCGGACCCGCAGAGCTCAGGGGCATTTCTCATCTCTACTCCAAATAGGGAAAGAAAAAAAAAATGCAGTCAGCTATCTTTAATCATTGACTCGAGGGCACATTTCACATCATCTCTCAAATCTGCATTTTTTATGAAGTGGCCAAAACGTGTGCTGGGTGTATAATTTTCTCTTCCTTATTGGCGCTAAGAGAAGTAATGAGAAATCGGCTGGAAATTAGCTTGCCTCGGCCCCTGCAGCCCGCTCCCCGCACACAGCCGTGCCCCCGCACGCCCTTCTATAGCAACCGGACCGCAGCGGGGGGAGAAGAGGAGGGAGGCGAGGGCTGCGAACTGGGGACGGAGCCACAAACTTCGCATTTCTCCACCGCCCCCAGCCCGTGGCGGGGGTCCCCGTGCAGGGACAATGGCCGCATTCCCGGGGCGAGGAGAAGGGCGCGCACGAGCCTCATCTCCGGCTTTTGCTCTTCTCACTGAGGAACCTCTCCCGAACCGAACCCGGCCCCCGGCGCAGGGAACTCCGCGAGTCCCGGACCGAGGAAGGCGGGAGGCGGCGGCTGGGGGACGACATTTATTTCCGAGGTTTTAACAGACGGAAACGCATTATCGCCCTTGTCGTTATCGTTCCCCTTATTATTATTATTATTAATTCCCGGGCTACCGGAGTTTTCCACCGCAGTTTTCCACCGACGCGGGGACGGCGGCCCAGGACGGGAGGCGCATCCCTGCCCGCCCGGGGCCCCTTTGTTCTCCCCCCTCCCCATCCCCCTTTCCCCCCGGGCCTCCCGCTGTGCCCCTCGGGGACCGGGAACTGTTGCTGCTGCCTGCGGTGGGCACCGCACAAGGAAGGAGCGGATAGTGGTGCCTGCGGCTCGGAGACGGCGCTGCGCGGGGCTCTGGGAGTCCGAAACGGGCCGTGGGGAAACCGGCTGGCACCCATGCTCCTCTGCTCTGATGTCTGCTAACTGTTTCAAGGCCCTGTAAAAACTTTTTCTTTGCTTTTCCTTTCTTCCCTCTTCTCTTCTCTTCTCTTCCCTTCCCTTCTCTTCTCTTCTCTTCTCTTCTCTTCTCTTCTCTTCTCTTCTCTTCTCTTCTCTTCTCTTCTCTTCTCTTCTCTTCTCTTCTCTTCTCTTCTCTTCTCTTCTCTTCTCTTCTCTTCTCTTCTCTCCTCTCCTCTCCTCTCCTCTCCTCTCCTCTCCTCTCCTCTCCTCTCCTCTCCTCTCCTCTCCTCTCCTCTCCTCTCCTCTCCTCTCCTCTCCTCTCCTCTCCTCTCCTCTCCTCTCTTTCTCTCTTCTCTTCTTTTCTTTTCCTCTCTTTTTCTATCTTGTTCTTTTCTTCTCTTTTCTTCCCTTTTCTTCCCTTTTCTTCCCTTTTCCTCTCTTCTCTTCTAGTCTCTTGTCCTTTTCTTTTCTCTCTTTTCCCTTTCCTTTCCTTTCCTTTCCTTTCCTTTCCTTTCCTTTCCTTTCCTTTCCTTTCCTTTCCTTTCCTTTCCTTTCCTTTCCTTTCCTTTCCTTTCCTTCCCTTTCCTTCCCTTTCCTTCCCTTTCCTTCCCTTTCCTTCCCTTTCCTTCCCTTTCCTTCCCTTTCCTTTCCTTTCCTTTTTTCTTTCCTTCCCTTGCCTCTCTTTGCTTCTCCTTGCCTATCTCCTCTCCTGCTCTCCCACTCCCTTCTCTCTGTCCACAAAAGCTACAGGATTTATTTTCTCATTTTCTGTTTCTCTGTTCTCATATTTTTCATTTTTCATATTAAAATCTCACCACCACTCTATTTATCCATCCATCCATCCTGTTTTCATCTGCAAATTAAACGTCCCCTTCTTTCATTCAGTCCTTTTTTTCTCTAATATCAGTAAAAATCAATGTGTCTCCTGTCCATCCATTCATCCCGATTCCTATCGCTCATTTAGATCCATCCTTTTTATTTTCCCTTCTTCCACACACTACCACAGCACACATTCTACGTCTACAGCCCCTCGGATTACTGGTGATACCCCACTTTTCCTTTCCTTTCTTTCGCCTCTGGGAAAGGCGATCGGGTGCCCCCACGTTGTACTCCCCAGCCCATTTCTCCCCTGACCCAGCAGAGTTACAGCTCAAAGCCCGGCCCCGGGGACAGCCGCCGGCTCTGGAAACTTGTCCCAGCTCCCAGGGGAGAAAGAAGAGAAGGGAAAGGTCTCCCGAACTGCGCCTGGGCTTGGCGGGACGGGAGGGACGCGATGGGGCGTCCCGGCCGCGTGCGAGCATTTCGGGGCAGCGCTCCTGGATGGGAGCCTCACTGGAGCACAGCGCAGCTCGAGATTCCCCCGGCTGCGACTGCAGCGGCCGCACCGCCCCGCACCACCCCCGCACCGCAGTGCCCCCCCTGGCGGCCCGCGGGCAGCCCGGGACGGGCGGGCGGGGCGGAGGGGCGCGGGGGCCGCGGTGCCGCTGCGTTTTTGTCTTTGATTGTTCCGAGGGCCGGGGTTAATCATTGCGCCGTGCTGCCGAACGTTGCCAGGCTGCTCCCCCCCCCCCGCCGGGGGCCGTGTCCCTCGCTCCTCGCAACGGGGAGGCCACGGCCCACGCGTACGTCCCACGCGGCCCTTTTCGTGCACCCGCCACTGCAGCGCTGAAATTACCCTGGCACCGCAGGGAACCGGGACCAGAGGGAGCCCCAGGCCCGGTGCAGCTCCCCGCCCCAGCGGCCCCCCCTCAGGTGGTCCGTGCCTCCCGGCCGGGGAAAACGAACACCACGCGGCAGGGAAGGCCCCGAGTTCCTCAGTTGTCCCAAAGCAAGCACCCACAGGTGCGCAACTTCCTGTTCCCTCCCGCTACCTGTTGCGGTCACCGCTGTTCCATCTAAGGGGAAGGAGCCCGCCGCCTCCCGCCCGCATCCCCTCGGGACTTTGTTCCTTACAACATCGGTCCCGGCTATTGCCTGAACGTGGGGACGTGGGGTCTGGGCCTGGAGCGGAGGTTCGGGGGGGCTCGGGAAGGTGCCTGGGGGGCTCTGGGGGGTCCCGGGAGGGTTTTGCTGCCCGGTCGCAGGCGGGGCTGCTCCCGCTCTGCCTCCGCATTTCCCTGGGAACTTTCTATTCCGGAGTTAACTATTAACCGCAGGAAAACAGGCAATTTTCTTCGGAATGCCAAGTATTTCCTTCATCCAGCAGATAGATGGGGTGATTGATTAATATGGAAATTGATATTAAAATTCGGGTGGCGGACAGGAACGCCTTCCCCGCAGCCACAGCCGCCCGGGTTCAGCCACACGGAGAGCGGCCGCCCGCCAGAGGAGCGCGGAGCGGCTGCCGAGGGCTCTCCGGGGCTCTCCAAGAAGCGCTAATTGCGATGTGCGGGAGGACGAGGCCACAGCCGCAAGGGCCGCCCCACACCGAGAGGGCTGGGGGCACGGGGCGGGGGGCGGGCAGGGCCCGCTGGGTGAAGGCAAGGATTGACGCACACGAACAGAGCCGCACGGCTTCCCCAGAGCCCCCGGGTCGCCCTTTCCTGGGGCTCCTCTTGGCCCCCACATGCACGCTGCCTGCCCCCCCCCCCCCCCCCCCCCCTCTCCCCCCCCCGGCACATTTCTCCCCATCCCTCTCTCTGCCTTTTCACGCCTTCTGTTTTTCTTTTTCCCCCTTCCCTCCCCGTATCCCGGAGGGGTGCTTACCGACCCCTAAGCTGCCCCCCCGCCCCTCGGTGCCACCCCCGCCCCTGTGCCCCCCCCCCGGCAGCCCGTCCCGCCGCCCGAGCAGCGCCGTATGAAGTTCTAACTGGTTGGTGTCAGGCAGCTCTCTCTAAGCAGCCTGGCGTGACGGATTAAACATCAACTAGTTAAATAAAAATTAATATCAACTGCCTCCTAACTTCTAATGTCATGTTGTTTATAACTAATGAACTGATTAGGGGATAAACACATCAGGAAGACATTTCTGCTTCCCTGCTCTTTCGAGAGAGATTTGCAGAATTCAAAGCAAATCTCCCAGAGTCCCTCCCGGGTTTTTCCCAGCCCGGCCCGGAGCGGGGGGAGATCCTCGGGGCCGCTCGGGCCCGGCCGCCCCTATTTAAGCCCCTCGGCCGCACACAGCGCACGGCAGCGGTGCTGGGAACGGGGCCGCCCGGGCAGCCCTGGCTGTGCTGCTGCCTCCGCTGCTCCCTCTCCGCGGCGGGATGGAAAAATGCTCATTGCTCCGCTATCGACTTCTGGCGCCCCATTTTCATATTTAAAATGAAACTTTTCTTCCTTTGCTCGAAGCGACAATCGATGCTCGTTAAGTGTTATGGAGGAAAGCGCTCCCCGCACCACCTTTATTTCCACAGCGATCCCGTGTCCGTGGCACGCTCCTCGCCTGGCCGCGTTGTTAACGTTTTCCCAAACACTTCAGAAAAAGAAACAGAGGCGCTCAGTGCCCCCGCCCGCCCCATCCCGGGGAGGCCCCGCGCCTTTAAGTACTGTTTGCCCAGCACCGCCGGCTCTGACAAGACAATAATAACAGGGGAAGCTTTTTAAAACCAATTTAGCAAATGCAGAAATGTAATTTTAATGAAGAATCGATAGCAGAATGGTTCATTTTTCCTGGGACTCCTTGTTGGAGCTGAGAGAGACTTTCAATCAATGGGGAGATGGAAGAGGGAGGGGGAGAAAGAAAGAAAGAAAAATATTCGCTCGGTGATGTCTTTAGCACGGGGAATTTTTCTTATTTTCCGTGTAGCTTTGTTTTATTCGTTATTTATTCTCGGCCGAGGAGCCGGCACCGAAACGCGGCGGTGAAAGCGCAGCAGACGGGCGGGCGGCTCCGGCAGCACAAAGCGCCCCGGGCAGCCCAGGGTCGCTCCCACCGCACCCCGAGCGGGGGGCTGCAGGGCCCCGGGGGCTGCACGGCCCTGCCCACCCTGCCAGTCCCCCAGCCCGACTCCGAGGAAGTTGCTCCCCGTCCCCTCGGCTCCCGTCCCCGCTGCCCCTCTCCACGCACATGTGTATAGTAATAAGACAACAAATGAATGCGCCGTCGCAACAAAGCCCCCCGCAGGCAGCCGGCCGTGGGAGGGGGCAGGGACGGGGGAGCAGAGCCCCGCGTTGCCCCGCACGGCCCCGTGCCCCCGCCGCCGCACCGGGGCAGGTGAGTCCCTCTCCACTTTTATAAGCAGCAGTGCTGCCTTTGCTTTGATTGTTATTTATTTTCCCCTCCTTTTAGCCTGTCCCGGCTCAGTAGAGCGGCGTTTCTTTCTCTGTGGCTGGCTTTTTTTTTTTTTTTTTTGTGGTGGTGCTGCTGTGGTGTGTGTGTGTGTGCGTTGTTATCTAAACCGTTTAGTTTTGGGTGGTTGCGCCTAGATCTCGAAAGTCAGCGGGGGAAAGCAAGACACCCGAGCGGGGAGGAGAGAAGCGAAGAAAAGGCCGCGGCGGATCCGCTCTTTGCAGCCGTCCGGGGGAGCCGGGCCATTAGGCAGAGAGAGGAGCATGGCTCAGAGCTCGGGGAGAGCAGGTAAGGGGCGGGGGGCGCTGCATATTCAGCAGGGAGGGGTGAGGCCGGCCCCCCGACTCCCTCCTTTGGCAGGAGGCCGCCTGCCCCCGCTCTCTCTTTCTCCCTCGCCCCTCAGCCCCCCCCCCCCCCGCCCTCTCTATCCCTCCGCCCGCCGCCCCCTTTCCTACAGGGCCCCCGCTCTCTCCCCAGCGCTGCCGGCTCCCTGCCCCAGCCCGGAGTTGTCTCCCGTCTGTAAAAAGTTGAGGGCGTCGCCCGAGCTCTCCGCACCCCGCAGCTCTCAACCCCCCCCGGAGCCCCGCTTGCCGCGCTGCTGCCGGCACCGCACCGGGCTCCGCGCGGCCAGCGCCGGTGGCAGCGGGCGGAGGATCGAGGCCGGGCCGACGTGGGGGCTGCGCCGCTCCCCGAAACCGACGGACGGGTCCCCCGGGCCCCCTCCCTCCCACTCTTCAATTTTATGATGTTCAAACAAAGCTCCGAACGAGAGCCGTCGGAGAGGAAGGGTTTTCCTCCCGTCGCGGTAAAAACACAACGAGGCGGTGCGGTTCTTTGAAATCACGTCAGTAAACCGGGTTTGGAATTTAGGGATTCGGGAGGGGGAAAAGGACCGAAGCGCAAACGGAGGCTGCGAATGCGAAGCTGCCGGTGCCGGCCCCGGGGGCGGAGGGGTTCGGCGCTCGGCCGCAGGGGCGGCAGGGGGAGAGAGCGGAGCTCGCAGCCCCTTCCGTGCCGCACAGCCCCCATGGAAAAGGGGGTGCGTCCCGAGAAATGCTCCTCGCCAAAGCGTCGCGGGGCTGGATATGTGCGTGTACACACGTCCACGCGCGAGAGTTTGTATTTTCCTGATCGAATCAATTAAACGTAGCGCTTTTGTTTTGTATTATATACGAATATTATACGGCTTTACCAACACGTAAAGGGAAAAAAATGGAAAGGCAACGAAAAAGGCCTTCTAAAAGGAAAGGCCAGAGCGGGTTTCTGTCGCTGTTCTGCACCGAATGTCTTCTGAGCCGAAACCGGAAAAAAAAAAAAAACCCCAAAAAAAAACACATTCGGAAAGTTTGTCACCCCCTCCGCTCCTTTTCCCTTCTGTATTTTTAAAGGATCTGCCGAAGTCCCTTTGCATCTGAGGTTTAAATAGGGAGATCAATAGAAAACAGTTGTAATGATCTAATTAATTATGGCAAAATTAAAAGCGAGTAGAAAATCAATCTCTGATGGTGTTGAAGATGGAATTAAATTGATAGTCCATCTGTTCACCTCCTAGACCGTATAAATATGCAACCCAAGGACGGAGCTAATGGGATCAAGCTGCCGGGGAGACTCTCTCTCCATCTCTCTCCTTTCTTGTTACCCCTTTCCCTCGCGGAGCTCAGCCCCGCACACCGCCGCTCCGCTCCCGCACCGGGGCCCGCCGAGCGCCGGCCCGCAGAGCGGTGGGGCGGGCGGGGGGGAAGCGGAGCGGCGGCGCTCGGTGACAGTGCGTTCCCTGCCGTGCCGTTTTGAAATCGAACGGTCGGGCTTTATTATCACGATGATGACTACGGAGAGGCGTACGAACGTCCGCTCCCGCTCGGCGTCCCTCTCCCAGCCGCCCGTTCTCCGCTATCTGCGCTTGCGGGGCCGGGCCGGAAAGCTGCAGGGCTTCCCCCCGTCCCGGCCCCTTTCCGTGGCGAACATCGGGGCCGGCCCGGCGCTGCCCGCCGCCCACGGCACCCGGCGGCCGCGGCTCCGCGGGGAGGGGCCGGGGCGACCCGAGCCGCGGCCCCCGGGGCCGGGGGGGGGGGGGGTCGGGCCCTGCCGGGTTTGCCTTCCGCTCGCGCTGCCGCAGCCGGGCGGAGAGCGCCCGGGGGGGCACCCGCGGCCCCGATCGGATTTATTAATTGATGTATTGAAAAGCGGGATTGATTGACATCCCCTAATGGAAATTACAGCCCCGCCATCCCGCTGAACGCTGCCCTCCCGGCCGTCCCTTCATAAAGGAACCCTTGAGGCGAAAGGTAGATTTTCATTTAAAGTGCACCGTCCTCAATTTCACAGATTAGATACATTTTAAACACAGACACACATATTGCAAATTAGAAGCTAATTTAATTATAAATCAAAACTGG